TGGGGGAGTCGGTCCTTTTTTTGGTTTTGCTGGCCAAACTCTTGAAGAGACAAGGAGCTTTGGCCTGTGGCTCGGCATATAGTAGGGTAGAGTAGAGGGCCAGTCTCGGTTCTGGTCCTGCGCGGGTATATAGTCCTTCATGACCTTCGCGATCGATCTACCTCCGACAAAAAGACCACGACTACTATCGTGGAACGCGATAGTTCCCTCTTGCTTGCTCGGCCTTGAATCCTTCGCTCTGGCTTGGCAGCGGCGCTCGCCTCCGCGAATTGCCACCGGCGCCGCCTCCGGTACTACCAGAGATGGAGGTGGCATTTGTCGGTGCCCCTGCGCCGTTGCCAGAGAGGCCCGGGATACCTCCACCTCCTCCAATACCGGGAATTCCAGCAGCAGCCGGAGCAGAGCCGAGGATAGGAGGAGGCGGCATCTGACTGCCGGCGACCGGCGGAGGGGGTGGGAAACCGGGCGGCAGGTTGAGTTTCGTGAAGTCGATCGGCGGTACAGCGGAGGTGCCTGGTAGGGGTTGTTGACCGGCTTGCCGCTGCTGTTGGGTCAAGGCGAACAGGCGCTGAATGGATTCGGCGTCCATGCCCGGTACGGGAGGGAATGGTGGGATTGGAGGAACCGTCGCGTGAGTCTGGCCTTGACCACCTCGTGATGAAGGCCGACCCAGGTTACTAGTTGCACTAGCATTGCTCTGCAGCCCTGACAAGAGAGATAATGGTGGCGGAGGAACATTACCGATGCCGGGAATCGGTTGCGTCGTTCCATTCATTCCTATACCAGGGAGACCAGGGAGACCAGGTAGACCAGGCAACCCTGGAATAGACAACCCTCCGCCAGCGGGTGCTTGTCCCTGATTTGCCTGATCCTCCAGTCCCTCTGCCTCATCTTGCTCTTCTTGCTCCTCGAGCTCCTTCGCCTGCTTCTTCCCAAACTTTCTATCCCATGTGCCCTGTGCTTCCGCCCCTTCCTCACCCAGGTGAAATTGGTCTTTGAAGCAGGTCGTCTGCCCGGGCTGTGCGCGGGACCAGAAGCGCGTATAGTGGTCATTAGAGCCCGATGCGAGAATATGCCCTAATGGGTGCCAGTCGATAGACCAGATCGAGGAATCATGCGCGTGAGGAATGCGGTGGGCAGGATAGATTGATTGTGCAGGTGCGGAGCGTGGGTCTGATGATGCATAGGGCGAGGTCATTGTGGAAGAGACGCCAGCGGGTGTATTAGGTTCTGTGAGTAAGTAGGAATGTAGGGAGCCATCGTCGCCGCCCGTGCTAATAAGGCTGGGGTGAATTGGGTGCCACGATAACGTAGTCACACCTTTCTCATGGCCCCGCAAGATGGCAACGTCGCGCATCATACGTAAGTCAAAAATGCGGGTTTGACCGTCTCGGCCAGCTGTAGCGAGTAACTGGTCGCGAAGCCGGCTGAAAACTGTGGCCGTGATGGCGTTTTTATGACCATGCAGCGTGGTTAGATTCCTGCATGTCCGAGGATCCCATAGTCGCACGCTGTGGTCTTTACTTCCCGATACGACAAGGCCTTTCGTGGGGTGCCAGTCGCAAGCTTTTACGTCCCAACCATGCTCTGTGAACGTCGATTCGTTGGTGGAAGAGGTGAAGTCCCAGATTTTGAGAGTGTTGTCATCAGAAGCGGTGACAAACTTTGCATCAGAGGGCGCAAATGCAAGATCTCTAATTGGCGCATCGTGGCCCTTGAATTGATGGGGATTGTTCAGAGTTGGTTGTAGATAATACACGGTGCCTTCGTCGTTCGCTGCGACGAGCCAATCCTTTCGATTCGACCACTCTGCAGCGCGTAGAGAACTGGAACCCATAGCAGTAACAGTCTCAAAGTTGAAAGACATGCCGTTCCATAGCATGAACTCTCCATTGTGCACACCGGCAAGGAGTCGACGACCTTCGGGCATCCACCGCACAACCGTCACCGGCTTTTTCGATTTACCTAGTGAGGTGTGAAGATGGCGAACGGGTATCGACTCAGCAGGGGCATCTCTTCGAGCTGGGGGCGGCAATATGTCGATCACATAGCTTTGGCTAGGTCTTTCTTGTTCATAGTGATAGCTTCCCTTGTAAGGTGGTTTTCGGTTGCCCATCCACTGAATCATGGAGGAGCCATAATCGGTAATTGGTCGGGGTCTCCGTCGACGGAAGCCGCCTCCTTCTTGGTCATCGTAGACATTGGCCATGGTGTTTCAGAAATGTATTCATCGAGAGGGAAGTTCCAGGTGTAAGAGGTGGAGAGGTGGGCGATATCACGAGGTGCTTTGGAGGTGCTTTGGAGGTGCTTTGGACGCCAGACACTAAAGGACTGTGCGCTCAATATGGATACCTTCAGATGTGAAAATGCTCTGCCTCTTACACCAGAGAATGAATTAAGGTGTAGAGCGCACCGGGAAACGAGTTGGAGATAGATGGTTGGTGAAGGATGTATCCGCGAAGTCTGAAAGGGCGGAAACGGAATTCAGTGTGTATGAGGTCACGTGAGGAAGTCTGGGAGACGTGGGTTTCTGTCCCTGTAAAAGTCTGTTTGCTATTCATATCCTAAGGACCTGCCCCTTGAACAACGATAGTCCCAGAAAGTTGTGCTACAGTCTAGTCACCTCTGTACCTTGCTGAGCTCTCCGTACTTTGCTTGCCAAGCGAAGAAATAGATCATCGCAGCCAGCGGTTGTCCAACAAACACGAAATTGATCCAAAAGATACAGTTCCCAATAACCTTTCCAGTCCCATCCATCTTTGCTAGAGGCTCTGTAATCTGAATCAGAGGCAGCTGCAGCACCATCCCAAGAAAAGCAACTCCGAGAATATTGTGTGAGGGCACTCCGACGGCGAGCTCGTGGAGCAAGCCTGAGAACACAAAGACCCACGCACTGGCTGCCCGATGTGACCAGCCACGACCAACCAGAGGGGAGTAGATATGCCTCCGCATGAAATGATAGACCGGCTTATTCCAGGTGGACCAGTACATCTTGAGGCTTGTGCTGTTCCACCAATCTTCGTAAAAGACTCGATCGCCAAACATCATGATCTCGGCCAGTGCATTGAGAAAAGACTGAAACAAGGCAAAGAATCCAGCGAGCCAGACAATCAAGGATATAGTGGACAGCTTCATTAGACGTTCCGCAATGGAAGAGAAGTCGAGCACGGCCATGCCATCCAGCGAGTTGCGCAAGACTGGAATCGCGTACTGTGCACACGTGAGCCAGATGAAGACGCAGAGAGCAACGACTTCTCCGGCCCGTTTGAAGAAGAAAGTCCATCTAATTCGGTCTGTGCGCGGGTAGTATGGTTGATAGACCAGTGTCGGTGCCCACCAGAAGTAACACAAGTTAGGAAGCGTAATGTTGCGCGGATAGGGACATTCTGAGTAAATGTCAGGAAGGGCCGATTCAGGGCCACCAGGGTTCAGCATGGCATGGCGAAGATCTCGGTTGGTGAAGGCATATGAGCAGGTCTTGAGCCACACCACGATAGCGTGGAGCTCGCTGATAGTACCTAAGCCGGGATTGTGGATGAAGTAGTAGACCACGAAGCTCGAGATAAGTAAAGCAAGCGAGGCATTCAAGGTATGAGCGACAGCAATCCACCACCAAGTGTTGAGGAACTCTCTCGTCTGTTTTTCCGTCTCGGGCTTTTTGTTGGCATCTGGATCGCTCTTCTTCCGTCTTCCAATGACTCCTTTGGCATTTTCCATGGCCACTTTCTCGATAATATAGGCGACAAAAAGATGACATGGCGTGAGGGCATAGAGGGCCAGAGCGATCTTGATATCCTGATTTCGAAGGTTCGACTTCAGAGTAATGAGGAGTCCGTACTTTCTCGCGTTCTCAATGACCAGCCGCAGGTTCATGACTATGATGGTCAAAACCATGAGATTGCGGAATCCTATAAAGCTCGGCGTCTTTTTGGCTTCATGGCTGAGACACGATGGACGAACTTGGGAATGCAGCGCTGCAACATGACGGTACTTGCTGCGGATCTTGGGTTGTTGCGGCTGAGGTTTATCGGTGGAGGGCTCGGGAACCTCGATGGGTGGTCTAACACCGTGGAGACCTTTGGCTGCGATATCTTGGGTCTCTGAGATCAGCGCATGTACGTTGTAAGCCATGATAGAAGCCAGAACCTGCGAGGTGTGTGGTTGCTGTCTACCGGCTGGTGGTGAAGTTATGTACTTTCCCCTCTCTTTCAACTTGGACAGTGGATCAACAATCAACCATGATCAACAAAACCGGGCCAATGGCAGAGGAGGAGAGACCCGGCAAAGGATGGATACGAGGGAAGAAGGCTCGTGGATGACATGGCGGAATGCAGAATTGAAACGGAAGCAATGAGGTAGGAGGAGGACGACCAGGACCCTTCTGGGCGGATGGCAAAAAAGGTACGGAGTAGAGGCACGGGCGCAGACGCACATGGCACGCAGACGAACTGAAGAAGCATAATACTCGGATAAAAGCACCAAGTGACTGTGGTTGGGAAGTGGAGGGCCATTTGACGGCCACCCGAGGCCAGGGGAATCATCTGTTGGGCAATCCCGCAACCTGTGGGATTGGTCGATTCCATGCTTCGCGAGCATGTGGAAATCCCAACTGTTCTGTGCTGAGGCCTTTTCGTCAGGAGGGATTTCATAAGTATTCGCATATTTGGCATTTCCACCTTCTGAGGAGAGATGGCTTTTTCGTTCTATTATTCACGGCACAAGATTTGGACCCAATCCCAGGTACATACAGCATGGACCGACGCCGACACCACTCCTGTAACTCATCTCAGTTACCCGCACAGCTTGGGTTTCCTATACAGACACACGTGCCGCACCCAATGCGTATAGATGCGCTCATCTTCTACAGCTTCGTGAACCTCAAACGAATCTGTCAGGCAGAGAGCAAGCGAGCAAACCGCCCCGACTGTGGCCACGTCGTCCAAGCATCTTGATTTAGTCTCCCGACGCCACGAGTGCCGGGTCTAGTGGGATGATGACAATCACGTCTTCTTCTCTTGCACTGCTTGGTTGGCAGTCTCTGGCGCTTTGCTGGCTTCGAGATCCTCCTCGCCCTCGCCCTCACTCGGTTCTTCCAGTTCCACTTCGATCTCGTCTTTCTCCGTTGGCGGACCTTTAATATGTTCCGGGTCGATGGCCAATTTGTCCACATCATCCTGTGCTCTCTCGCCGCCACTCATTTGCCATTCCATCAACTTCGTGAAAGCACCGTCGGGCCGACTGCTGAGTTCCTTGTAGCTGCCCATCTCCGCAACACGTCCATCGCTACCCAGACATATGATGGTGTCAGATCGTTTGATGGTCGAAAGACGGTGCGCAATGGAGATTGTCGTGTTACTACCTCTTAGCAGCGAGGCCAGCGCTTCGTTGACCAAGGTCTCAGACTCCGCATCAAGTGCGGATGTGGCCTCATCCAAGATCAAGATGTCGGGTTCCTTGACCAGGGCTCGAGCAATGGCAATGCGCTGCTTTTGGCCACCAGACAGCTGGGTGCCCCGGGCGCCGACGGGAGTGTCAAGTCCTTCTGGGAAATCGCTAATGAATTGGCAGTTGGCTCGTCTGGCTGCACGCATAATCTCCGCGCGGGTTGCATGAGGGCGGCCGTAGGCGATGTTCTCGGCTATGGTGCCGGAAAACAAGACTGGTTCTTGTGACACGATGCCGATCCTGCGTCTGAGAGATTTGACGTTCATCGTCGCAATATCCCTGCCATCGATCAAAATGCGGCCTTCGGTAGGTGTGTAGAACCGCAAGATCAGAGAGGCAATCGTGCTCTTTCCACCGCCGGATGGACCGACAATGGCGACATTGGCGCCCTGAGGAATTTCGAAATCCAGATTCCTAAAGATACTCACTGCCGGTCGAGTAGGGTAGCTGAAGGAGAGATTCTCGAACCGAATGGGGCCTCGTGCTGATACCACCTTTTCACCTTTTGTGGGAGATATGGTTGGCTCTCTGTCCTGGAGTTCGAACAAGCGTGATGCGGCTCCCACGCCTTTCATCAACTCCGAGTAGAACGACGAAAGCCCAAAGAGCGAGGAACCTGCGTACGCAGTGTACATGAGAAAAGAGGTGAGCTCTCCAATACTGATTGTTCCGCTCGACACCATACCACCGCCGACATAGAGGAGCGACAATATGGTCATGTTGCCCATGAATCCAGTGGAAGAGAAGAAAGTGGCACTGATGATCGATTCTCTTTTTCCCAGCTCGAAGATCTTGCGCACCTGCGTGTTGTACCGATGGACTTCGAGAATTTCACCTGCAAACGCCTGTGAAGTTCGCACATTGCCGAGCCTTTCTTCTGCAATCTTCGTTAACGTGCCGACGTTCTTTTGGATCTTTCGACTCAGATTCCGGATCGCTCGCCCATAAAAGAATGCACCAAGTGCGACAGGGGGAAACAGTAGCGCCAGAATACCGGTCAACTTTAGGGACACCCATGCCATCAAGCCAAAGCCAGCAGCTCCACTGACGAAAGCGCGGAGTCCATCGGAAAGATTTTGGGTAATCGACTTGCCGACGATGATGGTGTCGGAGCTGAGTCTGGAAATCAAGTCGCCTACACGATTTGCATCGAAAAACTCGGCATTTTGAATGTAGGTTTGCCGGAACAGCCTGGATCGGAGTCTCGCCACAATCCTCTCGCCCACAATTCGAAGGATGATGATGCGTCCGTAATTGGCCGCGGCACCCGTCGCAAGAATACAGACAAGGGCGGTGTAGAATGTTGTCAAGCTGAGCCCAAAGAGCATATCAGACTTCTGCTCCAATTCGGCACCCTCCGTTTTCGCACCCCCTTTGGTCGCAATATCCAGGATCTTGCCAATTGAAAACGGTATCGACATGGTGATGGAGGACGAGATCAGGAGCAGGAGAAATGCCAGCGCAAGGACTTTTGCTTCTGGACGTGCAATCTTGATCAACCGCCATATCTCCCCAAACCCAGCGTTCTTGCCCGCAGCACCCTCTTTTGACAGTCGAGCGCTGAGATTCACGTGCGAGGCCTGATGTGCTTTTTCAGATCTGTGAAATGCATCCTCGTCATCCGCCTCATCGATGGATTTGGATCGCTGCTGCTCCTTAATAACCGGCGTAGGAGTTTCGTAAAGTGTGCGACCGCTCGAAAAGTATACCGCCCGGGCAGCTATGCTGGGCTGGAAGGGCACATTGAGTCGATCTGGCCTTGGCGCAGAACCGTTGAGCAGCTTCAATGAAGGAAATTGGCTCGGATTGATGGAAGCCTTCGACCGCGCCCATCCATGCAAAGTGCGGGATGATATCCGGGAGTGTCGAGGAGAGGAATTGTATAATGAAAGAAGGATATTCTGGTCAAGCTGGTTTAATCGAGAGCCATGTTGAAAAGGCCTGAAAGCGAGCAGCACCGAGGTACGCGTAGCAATCATGCCTGTAAGAGATCGAGGGATGCTTCAACGGACTAAAGATATGGGCGTGTCCCTCCTTCTCTTCATCTCGGCGACAGTAGTGTAGGAGGGGAGGTGCCAGTGAAGCCGGGACGTCGAATGGCGCAATGAGAGCATTGAAGAAAGCTGAGAAAAAGGTGCCTGTGTCTGCGACCCGGATGGATCAATGACGATTAACCGGCCGATGAACGGAGACGCGAGACCGAGCCCGAAGCTGCAGCCAAAGCTCTTAAGCAACTAACTAAATAAGGTACCTAGCGGGCCAGTTGGGTATCACTCTGCACCTAAGGCTCAGAATGTAGGTAATAGCCCCTCCATTTTCTTGGTGTGTGCGCGGCTGTGCCTGCAACCCACGGCCACTACGGCCACACCCCCACTACGTAACCGGGAGTGGCACTTGGTTAGATGGCAAACATCAAATTCACCATCACCCGACTCGAGGTGTTCTCTTCTAGAAGGATCTTTGTTCTCACGAGGACTCGAGAGGCTCAACAACAAACCACAAACCAAGGTTAGACTTTTCCATATACTCGACTTCTACCCTCCGACTGTTTGCCTACGATTGACACCTGCCCCCGTAACTTCGCTTCGCCATGCCCATCTCCTACGACAAGTGGGATAGGCTTGAGGTATCAGACGATTCTGATGTCGAAGTGCACCCGAATGTTGACACGAAGAGCTTCATCCGAGCCAAGCAGCGCCAGATCCACGAGCAGCGAGCACAGCGGAAGCATGAGATCGAAACCCTCAAATACGAACGGATCGTCAACGACGGTCTGCTCGAACGTATCAATGCCTTACTAGACGCTCTGAAGAGACATCAAGAAGATGCAAGCAGAAAGAACCCAGAAGAACTAGTGTTTCAAAGTCTGATCGAGAGTGCTGGCGATCCTGCCAAAGATGAACCGCCAAAACCGCCCGAGGGCGTTTATACACACCAGAAGGAGCAGCCAAGGTATTCTAAGATGATGGGCGCCTTGGTTGATCAGGTCAAAAAGGAGATCGACGAAAACAAGGCCACATCCACAGACAGATATGCAGACTTTCTGCAAGGGGTGAATGGTCATCTAAGTAAGGTCCAGAAGCTACAGCAGGACCTGCTGAAGCGGCTGGCGCAACTGGAGAAGGAGGCAACCGCCAAAATTACAAGCGAGGACATCCATTTCGGCTTCGATTCGTCTCACATCAACAAGCCGAAGCAAAAGGCGACTCCTACTGAGAAGCCAAAAGTTAAGGAGAAAACTAAGACTGAAAGTGTCGAGTTACTTAATGCACCTAAAGGACTAAGCTCACAAACACGAGAGGCTCCCAAGTCTGGCGAAGGTGCTGTTTCTTCCGGTGCGGAGGCGGACATTGAAGATGATGCTCTTCTAGACAAGCACGAAGACGAGGAGGAAGATGAGGCCAGCATCAAGCTCACGCCAGAGGGCAAGCAGTTCGCAAAGATCAAACTTGGAGACTATCGAGCATGCCTACAATTCATCTCAGAGCATCCGGACATCGTTAATGAGAAGACTCAAGACGCACTCATGATCGAAGCCTTCAACGCTCAAATGAAAGGACAGGATGCTTATGCGCGAACCTGCGTGCACCAGAGTCTCCTGATCCAATATTGTCGCCAACTGGGTCGAGACGGGGTTGGATTATTCTTCAAGCGAATCACCACAAAAGGCCATCAAGCGAATCAGGTGTTCAACAAGGATTTGGCTGAGACATACGGCCGCATCAAGACTCGTGCGGCCGAATTACAGAAGGAAGAAGCAAATGACTCAGCCGGCGTGGAACAAATCCAGCTCCATGCTGTCGAGCCTGGAACAGAAATCCACATCAACGTGCCGCAAGCTGGCTCGGATGATCCCGTCGAACAGGAGGCACGCAAAATCTTCGACCGTTTCCCGCCGGGTCTACAACGTGCGTTAGAGAGCGGCAGCCTAGACGAGGTCAACAAGGTGTTGGGAAAGATGAGTGTAGATGAAGCTGAGGAGATTGTGGAGTTACTGGGTCAAGGCGGCATGCTCAGTCTACAGGAAGGAGTGATTGACGCCACCAATGAAGAGGGCCAGAAGAGGCTCAAGGAGATTGAGGAGGAAGAGAAGCAGAGGAAAGCTGAGATGGCAAAGAGCGTCGACGCGAAAGGTCAGGGTTTAGGGGAGCCTGGTGAGGCTGTCGACTCGTGAGATGATATTTTGATGTCGCGCTGAAAAGGACCCTGTCCGATTGTCGCAAATGGATATATGGGGGCTACAGCATTTTACATAACGAGACACCTTTTGTTTTGCTTTCAGCAGAAAAAAACGGCTTTAGCAACTCTCATCAGCGGATAGTCTTTTAGCCTTCTCTCTGCTTTCAGGCGATCGCGGAATCTTTCTTGTCAGACAGTAATAATAAATGTGTAATGTGGCTGCCATGCTGGGCCCGGGGTGTACTGGCCAAGACTGGCTTGACCGGGTTTGACTATTACCCACGCAAGGGTGCCGCAAACAAAATCTATGGTCAGACAACATCTTTTTGCCTTTCTGAAAAACTCTCGCGAGCAAAGTCCTCATCTTCTCTCTTGTTGTTGGTGACTGCTTATGCTCCCCTCTTCCGTCTCAGCTTTTTCCGCTCGTGTCCGTAAGGCGTTCATCCGGCAGAAATGACCATCGAAAGGATAGTTGCCCTGGTGTGCCTTGTCAACCAAAGTTCCCCCTCGCGCTCAGCTCAGCTCGATTGGCTGCGCACACAAAGTTCCTGAACTAATGCACCTCGTCACCAATGCGCAGGAGGCCGTGAGGCAGTGAGGTAGACACTCGAGAGCCTGGCGTCCAATGGCGTCCTTCTCGGTCATCATTCAACTTTGCTCAGCCCTTTACAGCATTATCAGTGAATGCTAATGCTACATACATACCATAATAAGATTCAAAGGCCCTCTTCACCCCAGCATGGTTGTCTGTTGCTCTCCCAACACCGTTGCAAACGGATCACCTGGATGTATTTCCCAGCTCACTGACCAGACATCTTTCGCAATTACTTAGGCCATATACCCTGTGTCAACCACGACCTGAGGCAAGCTGATATCCGATCTGGCGTCGCCAGGGGAACATGTCAAATTATGGCGAAGACATGGACACTCTCGATGGGATGGTACCTGTGCATCAACACGCCGACCAAGTCTCCCAATCGTGGAAAATTGCTGGACCTAGTCCTCAGCAATGGGCCGATATCAAAGATATCTTCATCCAGCTGTACATTGGTGAAAACAGAAAGCTAAAGGATGTTAGAACGATCTTGTGCAAGAAGCACGGTTTCAATGCCAGCGAGAAGATGTTCAAACGGCGAATTACAGAATGGAAGATCCACAAGAATTACAAAGCAAAGGACAAAGAGCTTCTAGCGAAACGTGTCAAGGCATACGTGGATGCCGGACACGATATTCAGTCGATCTCATTCCGTGGAAGGCCACTGAAGCTTGATCGAGTCAAGCGGCATTGTCGCAGCGACAAAAGGTTTACTCAACTTTGGGAACAGCTATCCCAGAGTCCAGAATCCATTTCTCTCGGAGACATCACAATCAAGGACGAGTCGCCGTCTCTGGTCACAACCAGATCAAGGACCCTTCCAAACTCTACCGCATCACCCGAGGAATCTGATACCAGTATGCAAGACGAAAAAGACGGCAGATTCGGCGCCACGACAGTCAACATTCTCCCGCCGACTGATCTGTGCAATATCCAAGCTGCCCTTTTCTACACTCGAGAGGCAGTCCAATGGCAGTTCACGACCTTCAACCGACTCAAGTTGAATGAACTGCAACGTCGATTCCCGAACTCCATTCCAGAAGAGGTAAGAGCCGGACAGACAGACCAAGTATCAGCATTTTGGCTGGGGCTCTACCGTGGCTTCGAGTACCTTCAGACCGGAAGATCGCCCGATGCTTGGAGGACTTTCGACGTCTGCTGTAACATGGTCCAGCCGCTGATACATTTTGCACCCCTTCAACTCTTGTCATGCCTGCTGGTACACTTTGCAACTCCGTGGCCCGGCATGGCAGCACTAGAGCAGCACTTGTTAAGCTTTATCTCATCCATGGCAGCAAGCGTGCTCGGGAAACACCATCCTTATGCTAAAGCTCTAAGTATGATGACTGTCGCTGATAATCGAAATCATGTCATTGAATCAATGATGCAACTGATAGTTGAAGGCTACAGCACTCGACGAAAGCCTAGCAATTCGTCGCTCTTTGCCTTGCGAGTTGACCAGATTGACATGCTCCGAAAACGGAAGAACTTCCAACCTGCGCATCACATGTGCCAGCAACTGATCAAAGACAGTCAGTCAATGCATCCTAAACGGTACAGGACTGCATTGGCGGCTTTGGGAAGGCTCTATGCGGATCAAAACGAGGAGTTTGCTGTCGAGGGGGTGGCGCACCGCATCCTCCAGCATGAGACGCAAGATTCGGGTTCGACAAATAGTGGAAGCGCGGCTTGGGCTTGTGATCAGCTCGCCACCCTTTGCTTGGCTCGTAAAGACTATGCACTAGCTGAGCGATATCTTCGTCGGGCGGCGTGCATGTCTTACACCAGACTCCCGCACCGTGGTCCTTCGACAGATTCTTTCGTCAAGAGGCTTGATTCCTGTCTGCGGCAACACAGCAAGAAAGGCCATCTCAGCAAAATCCCTGAAGAGTTAGGTATCGAGTTCGGAAAGACCGCTCACTCATCGTAACTGGTAGTAGGCAGGTCACAGCGTTTCAATTTGTTGGCACTCCACCGACGCGAAAACCCTTGACGTCCACAAATAGGTCTTGGAAAGAAATTGAGAATAAGTTGTCTGGAATAACTTGAACAGTATGGCAAGTCGGAGTGGACCAGTGTCTTACCCAAATAAGGCCAATTCCGGCTGCGCATGCTCGAGACTGACCACAACCCTGAATCAGGAGGAAAGGCCTACCCACCTCAAGTCATGCAGGATCTTGCGACTCAAAAGCACGTCTCAATGCTGCCTCAACATTCGGGGACTTGCATTTTGAGCGTTGCAACCAGTTGTCCACCATACCAGAATGCCATCTTCATATTCCCGACAAGCCTACTTTTGTGAACTGAAGTTCCCGGCCGTCGAAACCATTGAGATATTGAACGGCAAATCAAATTTTCACCAATGGCACTCTGAAATCCGGCCCATTCTGTTGTCTAATCCCCTTTCTTCAGATTTGATACTTGGAACCTGGACGGAACCTCAGTCTCCTCCATCCTGGGACCCCGAAGACCAGGCATCCTTCCACGAAGAACGCAGAGAATGGCACGGTGCGAACACGGCTTCCTGTCGCTTCATCCGTGCGACATTAGCCATGAATGTGAGCCCGTTTGTCCGCCAATATACTACTGCAAAAACACTTTTCTTCAACCTTGTGTGGCTTTACGGAGAAGACGCAGGGATTGATTCTCAAGGTGGCCCTCCAGTACCTGCGAACGCTGAAACTCTGAACGCAAAGAAAGGCCGTGCCAGCCTTCTGGCCGCACTGGAAGCGAAAAGAACCCTGGACTATCTGCAACCTGTCTGCGGGACCCTCAAGCTATCCGCTTCGACCTTCCCACCTTACAGAACCAACAACGGCAACAACGAGGTTACTTCCATTTCTTCGTCGGCGACAGAAGCTCCTACCTCTTGTAACAAGTTGCTGAAACTGCAACCTACAATTACCCCAGAACCCGCGCAGGCGCCAGAGCAACATGTCCCACTAGTTCGTTTGTTCAAGCGGGCCCGCGTCTCTCCTGACGCCAATTTGGAAACCATCCATGAACACGATGAGCCCCATCCAGGAAGGCGTGTGCCGTCCGGCTGTGCGATAGATTTCGACTACGGTCTTTCCAGGGGAGATCCAGTCCAGTCCGGCGGGAGCATCAGCCCTTTTTCTGACTGACTCGGGCAGTGAATACGATGATGACGAGGTGTGCCTTCTCCCCGCGCAGCAAATGACAAGTCCATCGCTGGTGTTGTCCATATCCAGGACTGCTGACTCAGGGGATCAGGATCAGGACGAGTGCCACCTCGAAGACATCGACGCCGCTGAATCCGCATCGCAGCCAAAGAAGCGTCAAGTCTCTAGTCCGGACCTGGAGCTGAGGCTGGCAAAGACAAGCATTACCTCCATTCTAAAGACCGTCACGGCAAAAAACAAAGCGAGGAAGCAGGACAGATTCTCCTTTTCGTTCCCTCTGCGCCGGTTAAGTACGGAAAGGGAAAAATCCACGGGCGAGGGCAAGGGCAAGGGCAAAGCGCGGGCTTGATCAACTGGGACGGATATGCGATGGCAAGCTTTGGCAGTTGATGTGGATGAAGTATGTAATGTGTCGAGACAGTATTGACTTTCCTAGGATGAGAGGAGAATCATGTCTGTCATTGATCGGCTCGGGAAGTTTTTCTCCATTTATCTATTTGTTTCGGGGCGGAGTGGTGCAGAACAGAGCATAACAGAGTAGATAGCAAGCGGACAAGCTTCAGCTTCTAGGATTCCTCCTGCCATCATTTCCATCCCCCCTTCGCCCTTTCCCCTCTGCCCATTCTTCTAACTATGTAATTGTACGGTCAAGCAAGATCGTCCATCTATCCATCACCAATCCAGCCGTCCCCCATCATCCCCATCCCGCTGATGTCCTCGCCCTCCTTCCCTCTCCTTGCCGACAAATAGCCCATAGAGCCCGCCGCCGACGTTGTTCCGCACGGTCTTCCACCCGCCTTGTTCGCCGTCCTCCCGCTCTTTCATGTAGTGGCTCAGGTCCGGCGAGAGCATCGCTTCCGAAACCAGTACTGGAGTGGTGTACCGCGCGCCGAACCAGGACACGCCGTCGTCCTCTTTGCTCTTCTGCTTCGGGTTGGATCTCGCGGCACGATTAGAAGACCGTCTCACCTCTTCTTTGGCAGCCTCGCTGGCGAGTTCGGCCCCAACACCACCGGTAGCGACGACGATGTTGTCCTTTATTGGTCGTCGATCAACCCTCACGCCCTGCCGCACGGCCTTGCTGACGTCCTCGTCGAAATAGTTGAACGGCATGAACACGACGGAGCTCGCGCTCGTGTGCATCAGCGTGTTGGGGATGTCCTGGCTGCTGGGCACGTGGTGGCCGCCCAGATTGAAGTACACGACCAAATCCTCCTCCTCCACAGCCTCGCGGTCGGCGACCATCTGTGCGAAGTCCACGAGCGGCGACAGCGGCTCGAGCGCGTTGAGGTGGTGCGCCGAGCCCGGTTCGGTCGAAGGGTGGTTTCTCAGGATCCACAGGTCCGACGACGACCACGGCGCCGAGGCGCCCAGTGCTGTCGAGTTGACGATCGTCAGGTGCGCTGGGTTGCCCATCCCTGTGCCCGGTAGGACACGGTAGGCGCGAGTCTCGCCCCATTTGTTCGTGTTGTTCGGCGCGGTGATGAGGTACATTTCTCCGGAATTCTTCGGCCAGTCGAGCCCCGTCTCGTGCGTGATGGGCCTGTGCACCATGTGCATGGTATTCCGGAACCCAGGCACTTCGGGTCGATCCCAGTCGTAGGTTCTCCGGAGAGGTTCAATCGACGTCCGCATGACGGTGTTGGCAGTGCCGCAGATGTCAAAGTCGGCACGGAAATTGACGACGTGGTCGTGCATGGAGGTGTGCAGGGCAGGATGGACGCGGTAGCCGTATTCATTCGCGGACGAGTCGCGTTGTGTGAGCGGCGAGAAGGAGAACGAGGTGGAGGAGCGTGGCTCTGCGTGGAATGCCCCGAATATGTAGCCGCTAGCCCTAAGCTTGACTTCGACAGAGCCGTCGAGGTAGAAGATGTAGTCGATCTATCGATTGGCAGATGGCATGTCAGAGAAAGAAACTCTCTAGATGAGGCCGAAGAAAATAAGGGAGGGCTTGATAAGGGAGGGCTGCTGGCTGTTGGCTGCCGCTTGGAGGGAAGGGACTTACCGTGTAGTCATAGTTCCCGACCGTGCTCACACTTCTCACCACGAGGTAGGTGTTTCTGCTGACGGTCGCGCTGAACGCCGAGGTGTGTCTCTGCAACGGAGCGTCCGATGTGTATTCAAAGACGCAAATGGCGTTCCGGTTCGTGTACATCTTCCCGCCCCGGTGGTACGACATATCCATATACTCTGCGTGGCCGGGGCAATCCAGTCCCGGCACGAGGCTGAACATCATCTTGCCCATGCCGAAGAAGGTGTCCAGAAAGTGGAGGCCAGATTGCATGGGTTCGACGCCGGCGTAGTGGGCCAGTGCCTCTTGCAGGCCGAGTTGGTAGATGATCCGTGAATTGTTGTAGCGGATGTCGAAGAGCGACAGGGCCGTCGCCTGTGAGGTCGAGAAGTAGAACGAAAAACCCATCCAGGAGAGGTAGTTCTCTGACCGGTCGAGGCGGTACCGCGGGCCGTAAGGCTGGATGGAAACCGGAGGCGGCATGGCTCGTTCTGGGGTCGAGGTGATGAAATCTTCAGTATCAGTCCACGAGCCGTCTTCGTTGACAGCGAGGCGCTCAAACCCTGGAGACGCCATGGCTGCTCGGAGCATCGTGACATTGTCATAGAGAATCCCGTTGTAGAACCACTCGCCTGTCGTCCAGGTCTCGGGGTTCGCGCTGGGCAGGTTCAACTTGACGTACAGTCCCTGGGGCAAGAGACTGCGGCCGTCGGATTTCATGCCTGGACCGAAAAACTCCAACCAATGCACCATCCGGCCTGAGTCGATGAGAGCCGGTCTGGAACCCATGACCAATCCATTCGGGTCGTCAGGATCGTGCCGGTTAGTCTTTGCGCCCAACAGGTCCTGAGTAACATCAGACGCATCCTCGCCGATGGACAACGCCCATTCAAGCAGAGCAAAGACATCGGAGATGGGACTTTGGACATAGTTGCGGCCAGAGTTGTGGCAGTACGTCAAGGGCAGGATTTGAGTCTTGTTGGACGGGGGCAGGGGCCCAACCATATATTCGACGATGAAAGCGTTGTCGTCCTTGGGCTCGACAACCGAGAGGCGGGCCCAGCGGTCCGGGACAGGGCCATTGTGGTCCAGATAGTCGACAACACTGGATTTGTTGGGTCGTAGAAGTTCGATCAGATTCAGCGGGCTGCTTCCTCGAGCGCCGGTCGAGTTGAATATATTGGTGTTTTCATGAAGCCATATATATACCTGCGATGCCTCGGCTTCGTCCAATTCCGTCCAGAGATTCTCTGCAGGGGCGTGGAAGTGTCTGTGAGGATGCTTGGGTGAAGCCGACGAGTACAAGGGCGGTTGCCTGATCGGGCCAGAAGTGGAGGCGGAGAGGAGTAGGAGGAGATAGGCGAGGCTGCACAAGATAACGGCGGCAGAGATGGATATGCCCAACAGCCTCCACGACGCCATGGTGGCAAACCGCCCGACTGTCGTACGCAAGAGAGGGACAGGAAGAAGAAAGAGGAAAAAGGCCACGACAAAGTATCTATCCGTGGGATCTCGTGCTGATAGACATCAAGCGGAGATGCCCTGATCTATACGGGCACGGCGGGCTACAGTCTCCCTCTGAGGTATAGCTTCGTATTTAGCCCGAGAGTGGGAGTCTGGCATGCACAATTCATGTACATATCTCGACTAACGCGGGATGCCGCCCCGGGGGTCTTGAGGTGCAATTATCTTCCCATATTTCTGCTCCGTACCATATCTTCTTTACGTTGCAACAATCCCGTCAGGCACTCGAAGCTCCTTTGCGATTTCGTCCTTGTTGACTCCCTCGGCATCTCCATTTGTTGTCACGACCTTGTCCTCGGTCACGACCAATTTCTGGCCCTTTTCCAACGGTTCGTGTGTGAAGCGAGTGTTGTTTAGATACCATGTCAAGCCTTCGACGTCGCCCGTTCTCTCCGCCGCCGCCCATCCGTCGCCAAACCATCCAAATTCGTTTCCATCAGCCGGAGTCATTTCAAAGTCGTCGAATCGCACCTTCTCAAGCGCCTTGACAGCATGGATGCTGCTCCCGGGCCATAAGGCGGTCACTCGGCCTCGCTTTCGCTCTTCCGCTGTCGCATTTGGAGGTGACGACTTGTACCAACTCCCGCATTCGGCCGAGAAGACCGTGCGCTTGAAGAAGGCATCACAGTAATTCGTAAAGTACTCCACAACTTTCCTCTTGGGCTCAATTGTCTTGATGTTTCCCTGTCCAAGTCTCTGGACGATTTGCCCGACATAGTTTGCGATTGCTTCGATGATGATCAGGAGATTGCCATTGCCTACACCAGCATTGGGGCCAAGTGACTGGAAGAAATTGGGGAACTGGTCGGTGCAAAGACTGAGGTATGTTTCCGGCCGTTCTTTGTAGCGATCTTGAAGGTTGATTCCACCACGTCCATATATGGGGAAACGACCTTGGAAAGACGTGTCAAAGCCCGTGGCACAGACGATCGCCTCGACCGGCCTATGTTTTCCATCGGTAGTCACGATACCGGTCTCATCGATATGCGAGATCTTGGTTGGGATCACGTTGACGTTGTCGGCAACCAGGGCCTCAAGATATCCAGGACCAGGAGTGAGTCGCTTGCAGAGAGGTGGGAATTCCGGGATGAGGTGTTCCGCAATCTCTGGTTTCTTTTCCAACCGATTCCTCATGTCTTGGTTGAATGCTGACCACGCGCCTTCGTGCTCTTTGGTTCCCCGATGCGTCAGAGCAAAGCAGCCTTGCATGCCAATTTCAAGGGCCTTGCGATATTTGACGTAAGATTCGGGGTCTTTTTCCCAAGCCTCCATTTCGTCCTGAGTGTAATCAAAATTCCCATCCTGTCCATCATTCCGCTCCCGAACGAGTTCATTGCCAAACGACGCCGCGATCCACGTCCGGCCACGCACATAATGGTCCATGGATTTGACGTTGGGCTGCAAGTTGGCGACGATCTGAATACCACTACTGCCGGCGCCAATAACTGCAATATCCCTGCCCTTCGATGTCAATCAGCAAGAGAATGTAAGTCAAAAGGTGGGGGCCAACTTACTGATACGTCGTAATCAGAATCCCAGTTTGCGCTATGAAGCAGCTTCCCCTTGAAGTCGTGAAGGCCTTTGATGTCTGGCCATTTCCATTCGTTGAGAGCACCAATGCCGGTCATGAAGACGTCGCCGATGTCCTCCACAACCTCATCGGTGTCTAATCTTTGGAACTTGACGTGCCATTTCGAGGTTTCTTCATTCCATCGAGCTTCTATACATTTGTGGCTGAATTTCATGTATTTCTTGACGTCGTATTTTTCTGCGACCCTCCTCCAGTACTGGAGGATTTCTGGTGCACCAGCATA